TTGAGGCAACAAAACTATCTCGTTAATTTGAGGCAACAAAACTATCTCGTTAATTTGAGACAACAAAACTACTTTGTTAAGTTGAGACAACAAAAATACAGAGAAAAGATCAGTTTGGGTTAGAACTACATCTGAAATATAACTTCTTACGTAGCCTTTGTAATTCAAAAATCTGTGAATTCTTGCGTCCACCCCGACAATTGTTTGCATAGTAGCGACGCAACATGTTAACAGATGCCACCTTCACGTAAGTTTGTGAACATTTTATGTGTTTCTGTGAGATCAGGCTGATTAGAGTTCAGCACAAACCTAAACTGAGATCAGAACGCATCAGCTACTCTATAAATTACATTTAAAAATAGCCGAACCCAAACCTGGCCTGAAAGGTCCAGACCGTGATAAATAATACTGTTACTGCAAATGAATTAAAAGAAGTTGTGTCCCGTGTGTCCTCCAGGCTCGACCACGTCCTCATCGACGCTGCAGAATGAGGCGGAGCTCGGCGATGACGACGTCTTCACGGTGAGAAACTCCTCGTCCTCCAGCTGATAAAACGCTGATGAACACTGAGCATGACTTTGACAAACTGAATGCATTAGATGTCTGAGTGGAGCAAGCGTTAATAAAGATACACATTTCTCCAACTTCATCTCCATCTTTCGTCACTATGACCCATTATTACTTCATTTTTTAATGCTGTGCATCATAATTCACATTCCTGGATAGAAACTAGGTTTTTCCCTCTAAAGTGTTCTGTACTTTATCAGGAGGAAAATATAGGGATGTGCAGTTTTTTGTTATTTCACTATATTTCTGAATTTTCCTAATTTCTTTTCATGTTTGTAAAATAAACCATGTGATTTTAATGTGCAGACCACATAGGAATTGAGAAGTTGAATGTCAAGTTGCATGATTTTGTGTCATGTACGAAGCTGGAGTCAGGTCGAGGTTAGCTTAGCTTAGCATAGAGACTGGAAGCCGGGGGAAACAGCTAGCCTGTCTCTGGAAACCTCCACCTACCATCACTATACAGCTGTGGTCACCTTTGTTAGTTGTCATCTCTCCTTCCTGCTCTTTAAACTGTACTCTCTTCAAACACATACTGCATTTAGTACATTAAAAGTGTATGTCTCCTCCACCTCCATCCTCCGATGAAGAGACCAGGTCCCGCTTCCTTCTTCAGTCCAGTTTTTCCGTCTTTCCATCGGCTTCAATGAAAAAAGGGTGTATCATTTCCGCAGGATGTCCAGCTATGGAGAAGAGAGTCTGACCTGTCAGTAATCCGTTACTGAGCTGCCTGTTTACATAGCTGGCCTCGTTTAGAGGAGAGCCGGGCTGACGGAAGGGAACGTGGCTGAACCGCCCCGGCTGCAGATCATTCCCACCCGTCCTGTCTGCAAGTCTGGCTCCCTGAGGAGGAGGAGGAGGACCCAGAAGAGTTTGACTCAGAGGCGCTGAAGAGGCTCGGAGGACAATGAGGATGTAGATCAAGCTTTGCCAGGAGTAAATAAAACCCCCCCTGTCATAAAGCAGTGCTTCCTCTGGAGGCCCCTGAATAACGGAGGAGGTCCTGACCAACTGCTGGATTGGGTTTGTTGGAGAAACAGCAGGAGGATAAATGATGTAGTTATGAAACTATGGAGGTTTAAGCACTGAACGCAGCTGCGTCACAAAATCTGAACACAAGTAAAGTTTTACAGAATTCGTTATATTACACAATAGTTTCCAATATAATTAGAAACTATTTTTATCTGTACCGTGCAATGTGCTCTGAGAGACTAAAGCTGGGGTTTGTCAACTCTGAAGGGGTCTGAAACTTGGCAGCCAAACACCGAATCGGGACGAATTACTTTTAACGAAGGACGGCGGCGTGTAGGCGCTGTTTGTCAACCAGACTGCCGCTTCGTGTCCTTAAAAAGCCACGTCTGATGGGATGCTGAGAAATCTGGGCTTTATCTCAAAGACTGACCACTGTGTGACACAGTCGGGAGCATTAACACACTAATAACAGAGGAGAAGAGGAAAACCTCAGGCTGCTGTGAACAATGCAAGTTCCCAAACATTTTTGTGTTATGCTCTTGTTTTATAAGGCGGGAAATGTTTTCACCATGTCTGTCAGGCCTTAAAGAGGCTCACGTCGCATTTTGGTGAGAAAGATTGTAAACAAAACTCACATTGATGTTTTTTAAGCAGAGATGCAGCTTTAAAAAGATCTGTTCACACAAAATTTCGTAAAACGGTCAAAAGATTTACAGAAATGTAAAATAAAAGCAAAATGACAGTTTGTTCTTGTGCGTTGAAAGTAACCCAGAAATGTGACAAAGCAGTTCATTCACTTCGCTGCGAAGTTCGGCAGGTTCTTCAGTTCCTCAGTTTTCTGTCATTTGAAGGAAGTCTTCTTGTGTGATCCGAGCGAGCCACATGAAAGCTGCAGCTTGTGTCGACCCCGAGGATGACGCAACTCAGCGCACGCCGCCGAGTGCTCGGAGGGCCGCAGGCCGCAAAGCGCCGAGGCTGGGATTCATTTAACGCAGGCCCAAAAAAAACACAAAGACTTCAGAGACGTTTCGGCTGCTCTGGAGGTCTTTTATTTTTCCTCCTCGGACTTGACTAATTGCACACAGAAGTCTGGTGGAGTGAAGCTCAGGTGGCTTCAGAGAGGAGTTGATATGTGTCACATTGTTTTACATCACGAGCTGACTTTTTTTTACAATTGCGCACAGTGGGTTAACTTCTCAGATTAAACGACTGCGTCTAGATTCACAAAAAAAAACGTTTTTTGTCCTTATTCCGGAAAAGACAATATACAAACTAAGCTGTTTACATGGCTAATGGGAATGAATACTCCAATGATATTCCCTTTTACATGCAGCCATGTGTACTAATTAACATAAAGCTCCCCAATGACGTAGGTCCTACAGCTATGTCCAAATTATGTTATTTCCCTCCTTTTTCCAGCTGCAGTCTTGTTGCTCTCGTGGTGTACTCGTCACCGTTCTGCGAGTTTCACAAAATTGCGATCTTTTTTTTTTTACGGCTTTGCACGAGAACAGACTGGTTTGTGTGTAGTGTATGTCAACAGAAAAAAATCTCACCAAGAAGTCTGTTCAGTAGCTGTTTTTCGATCAGATCACATGATCTTCCTTCAGATCCATTGTTGTCAACGTAGACACGAGGAAGACACGCTTAAACGCTTCCTGCAGGTTTTTATTCACACCGTCTCCTCTTTGTCCTCCAGACGGCCACCGACAGCTCGTCCAACTCGTCCCAGAAGAGAGAGCCAGCGATGCACACGCTGGCCCCGCACAACTTCTGTGAGGCCCGTCGGCACCACTGCATCCTGGGAAATTTTTACGAGCACCACCGGCCCTCTGATCACTACTTCCTGGACCAGGTGAGTAGAGAGTCCGAGTTGTGCCGCTCGAAAAATGGTCCACGATCGAATTGAGCTTGAGTTATTCTCAATGACCCACAGTTTGTGAACAGCTACATCGTAGATAGAGATGACGGATAGAAATGCAGACATCACATATAAAAGGGAGGAAGGAAATCAGCATCAAAATGTCCTCACCAAAAAGATTATTAAAATGTTGCATTTCTGCAAAGCCACATCTGGTTTGTTGAGATTTATTCGTAGAACACATTTGACTGAACTAACCATGAAGAGTTCATTACCCACAAGGCCTTGCAAGGAGAACCGCTGTTAGCAGCTGTGTTCCCCTGTTCCTGCTGACCTCATTTCCCCCTGGAGACATTTCAACAGTTTCCGTCTCCTCTGTGTCTCTGCAGGCGGTGCACATGTTCCCTCGTCACGTCAGCTTCCAGGTGGAGGATGAAGAGATCGTGCGCATCAACCCCCGCGAGAGGAACTGGCTCACCGGCTACGAGGACTACCGCCACGCCAACTCCACGCGCGACAAACTCGCCCAGCCCGACAACCTCGACGCCTACGTACACTTCGCCAAGAGCGAGCCGCCCAAACACAACTACGCCTACCCGTACCCGCTGAACGGCGACGTGCAGCGGGGCTGCGACGGCAAACCCCGCTGCCTGGAGCGGGGCTGCGGCCACAGAGCGGTGGTGACGGTGCAGCCGCGGGCCGTGCAGCCCAAAGGCAAGAGGCGGAAGGAGGACGGCGAGCGCTCGCGCTGCGTTTACTGTCAGGACATGTTTAACCACGAGGACAATGGGCGGGGCCGGTGCCAGGAAGCACCTGACCCCATCCAGACCTGCATCAGGCGGGTCAGCTTCATGTGGTGCGCGGACAGCCTGCTGTACCACTGCATGTCGGACACGGAGGGGGATTACTCGGACCCGTGCTCCTGCGACACCAGCGACGAGCGCTTCTGCCTGCGCTGGTCGGCGCTGGTGGGTCTGTCGCTTCTGGCGCCCTGCATGTGCTGCTACGCCCCCCTCAGGGCGTGCTACCGCTGCGGCGTGGCCTGCCGCTGCTGCGGCGGGAAACACAAAGCGGCGGGCTGAGGCAGCAAGGACTCGTGGGAAACGGAGGCCGCTGTGACTTTGCTGCTGTCGTTTGTCTTGTCTACGATTATCATAAGGAGGAGAAGAAGAACTTCGTCTCAACAGATGGAAAAAATGTTCCCTGTGGTTTTTTTTATTTTTGTGACATTGGAGACCAAATGGCTTCCAATTCTCACAAAGACTGAACAAAGATTCTTCATTTAATATATAAAATTATATATATTATATAATATATATATATATATATTATATATATATATATAAATATAGGTATATGGGTACATTATATTTTTACACTCATTTGTTTCAAAGGCTTAAATATGTCATTATGTCAGTATGAATGTTGTCTTGTTTGTTGAGGGAACTGCAGCTCATTGACAGCATTTAGGGGGGTTTATTGTCAGAAATGGAATATAATATTAATAACTATGTTTTCATTAGGGTGTGATCACCTGAAACTACGAAATCGTTGTATTTTCGATAGCTTAGAATGAGCCCTTTGTATCTACTTAAGGAGCGGGTCCTCTTCAGTCCGCCGAGTTGCATCGCCATGTTTCTACGGTAGCCCAGAACGGACAAACCAAACACTGGCTCAAGAGAGAGCCTTTCACGGGAGGGGTGAGCGGAGGGCGGAGGAGTATTTAGTTGGTTGCAATCTTCAACCTCACCGTTTCATGCCACTAAATCCTTCACACTGCTCCTTTGAAACATTTTGGACGCACACAATCATTTCAGAAAAAAATAAAATGTGGTGAGACAATTTCACTTTAAAGGGTTCACGCAACAATTTTTTAAAGTTAGGATATCTGTCTGTCTGTTATGTCACAGCCCGGCTATTAGACCGGACAAAAACAAGAGACATACGTGTATACTTAAAAACAAGGCCAATAAATAGATGGGGACAGAGCTGGAGTCAGGACTGGTTAGCCTAGCTTAGTATAAAGACTGGAAGCAAGGGGGAAACGGCTAACCTGGTTCCCTCTAAAGTTTAAAAATACATCCACCATCACTGTTACAGCTACGAGTTAAAATGTTTCATCTCGTTTAATCTGAACACAAACAGAAATACAAATGCAACAATGGCCAGGCTAGCTGTTTCCTCTCGTCTTTATGCTAAGCTAGGCTAACCAGTCCTGACTCCAGCTCTGTACTCAACGCACCAACATGAGAGCGGTGTCAATCCTTCCATCCAATTCTCAGCAAGAAAGCGAGATGTTTCTCTGACTTTGTTTTTTTTTTCTCATTTATTGTAAGCTAACTTAAATTACAGAAGGTGATTGTGTTGCAGGTCTGGTTCCCTGACATTCAGCAGAGGCACTCAACTGGTCTGAAAGCTGCTCCGCTTAACTCCCCGCAAACAGAACAGATAAACCTGTTTGGTTTGACCAGTAAAATGGCGGCTCCCGGTCCTGAATAATCCAGAAACACAATGACAGTTTGCCAGAAGGTAACCGTTTGCAAAAAGTCAGATTTAAATCTGAATAAATTTAGTTTTGTGCAGATCAATGATCCATTCATAAAACATGCTAACGAAACCCAATTTGCACAGTTTGACTTCATTGAATCATCCCCTGCTGTGTTGTGGACGGGTCATACTGGTCTGTCTTTACTGGTTTGTGGTCTAGAGGTTTGTTTGATGATGAGAAGAACAAATAACCCAATGAGAACAAAGCTCTGACAGAACACTTTAGATACTTCAGCTTAATGTGTGTGTGTGTGTGTGTGCGTGTGTGTGTGTGTGTGTGTGTGTGTGTGAGATCCTTTTATTGATTGAAAAAACGACACGAATGCCAGAAAAATCATCAAACATTGTCAGAATATTTGAGTCTCGCAGTTTAACTCGAAGACATTTTCCTCAAATTTCTTTGCTAATTTAAAAATGTTTTGATCACAAAAGCCTTTGATTGTCCTGTTTCTTTATTATAAAAATGCGACTCGCGTTTTAGAGAGAAAGGTAAAATAACTCATCGGCAATGCCGAGTCTGAGCCTGTCGATCCCACAACACAACGAAATGAGCACAAAGTCTAAAAATGCGTTACAGTGTGAGAACTTTTCCGAAGAAGGAAAGCAACTATTTGAATTATGACGGCAATGGACAGTTTCATTTCCAGGGAAAGGTTTTTCTTAGTTCAAAAACTTTTGGTTGAAAAAATACAGTATTTCTGTCTTTTCATTTTAACTAAGTGCAACACTATGAATGTCTATTATCTCCATATTTAAATACTATCGCGTCTCCCGGCTCTCAATAGTCAAGTTTCCATCCAAATTTTTTGGGAAAATCAAGAAAATCGTCAAAAGAAAACACGAAGGAATGCTTGTTTTCCATCCACGACGGTTATGCGATTATTATGAGCTGGTTCATCGAGATAGGCAGTAGGTGGCGCCAATCCTCCGCCAAGAAGAGGCTGCAAAAAGATGACGTAGTTACTAGAGCGCCAGTCAGACCTATACTGGTGAAAAATGTTGAAAACTGGATGTAAATATGACATTTCTGTTAGTTTCATGTATTAATGTGAGAAAGGTCACATCGGATCTGTGCGTAACAACGAGGAGACCGTTTTAATCTGCCGCTGTGTTTCGTCTCTTTAGCGGACGTTGAAGTCACGCTTCATGTAAGCCGAGCGTGAATATTTTTTTGATATTTCAAGATTATTTTTTTTAATTTCCTGTATTTCCACTCTGGTTTTTTTTTCCGAAATTGAAAACGCGCAAAAAACAACAGGTGGATCGGAACGCACAATGTGACAGACGTGACTTTTCAGAACAATAAACACTTCTGAAGTCTTTCGATGTAGTTCTGATGGATCTCAGAGCTAACTGCTGATGGCTGATTTGTGTCTTTAATCGGGATGATCAGATCGGTCATTACATCGGAATTAAGTTATCCGTCAAAACGCCTCTTGTGTCGAGCGAGTCGCTTGCCGTTAGCTGCTTTGAAGCTCGATAAACACGTTTATTTTATCATAATAATTACAACATATTTCATATTTACAACGTTTCGTATACATTGCAATTTTTCAATAGTTCTCTCTTAATATTATGAGATATTTCTTGTGATTATGAGATAATGAGTCAGTATTGTGAATAAAAGCTATTTTCTTTTTTTGGGGTGAATGCAAAGCGCTTCTATATTAACGGAACTGTTAGCTAATCATTTAGCATTCACTCCCTATCCTCATTAGCAACAATGGTTGCTACTGTTGTCCAAATACTGTCTTTACGATACCTCCATGAAAAAAAACAACATATCACATCTAACAGCCATACACACCATAAGACCCAACAACACTAACGACAATAACAATCAAATAAATCAATGGATTACGCGCCGTCTTTGGCTAATCCATTTCTTGTGCAAATAAATACAATCTTAACATTTGATTGAAGCTTGTTTCACAACTCTACGGTAACGTGTTCCATGACGCCGTCGCCCGAAACGGATTCAATCTTAAACCTGCTTCATTAGACTTTGTGCTCTTTTCACAGAAACACGTGTGAGTGTTTGTTAACAGTGTGAGCGAGAGGCCTGAGCATTGAGTTGAAGCTAAAACTGGTGAATAAGCTGCAGCTCGTCTGTATACAAAAAAAACCTCAGTCGTCGACACCGCGCAGAAGAACAAACTTCGGCACGCGTGACGCTAAATCGTTTGACTGGAACGCCGCGCTTTCCTTCGACCGCGGAGACGTTTTAATAACTCTTGTGAATGTGGAGACCAAGCTAACAAAACAATCGGACCGTTTGCTGTGACGAAGCGGTTTGTCTCATGTCTTAAAGCTGCCACCAGTCTTTGCTTTGATTTCCTTCCTCCGAGGCAGCAACTGGTCTCAGGTCAGTTTTATGAAAGTCAACAAGACTTGAGACTTGCTTTGGATCATCGATCTCTATTTCAGCTTTATTTATACATTTGTTAATTGTTTTATTCTATATTTCATGTTTTACTTTGGATCATTTTGGTGGTGCATTCAATGATGTCAGGAAATCTCAATCAGAAGGAAAACATGACTGAAGGGAATTCTGTGTTTTCTTATATATAAAAAATGTTTTTATCCAACTTTCAAAGCTCATGTGTCAGAGTTTAAGCTTTTTGGATGTATTTTTACTTTTGCAGACTTTGTTTCCAAACATCTCCGTACAAAATGAAAATCAATTGGAAAACTGTGTTCATTCACAGTAAACACAAAGTCTACGTTACTGTTTGTCAGCGCTACGTTATCGTCATCGTAACGTGGAAGTTTGAGTGCAGATTGATCCGTAAAATATGCGCTACAACATTCACTATTATATCGGTAACATCACTGAATGAATGTAGACTTGATGTTGACTGTGATGGATCGCACAATTTAGCTGCATTTTAGCTTTAAAGCAGAGTCTGCAACATTTTGTGTTTTCTTTCCAAAATGTCAAAATTTTTGGATGGATAAAATTTATATAAAAATATATATATATATATTATATATATTAAGTGTATGATGTACATTTTCAGTTCTATTTTTTTATTGTACAGAAAGAGAGAGAGAGACAGAGAGACGGCATCCTGTGACAGCCGCAGGGAGAGGCCATTTCCCATAATGCCTGTGGGCAAACAGAGGTCCTGTATGTCTGTGTGTGTGTGTGTACATATATATATATGTGTGTGTGTCTTGGGTGGGGACAACAGCTCTGTGTTTATAATGTAAATATCTGTTCGCCACGAGTCACAAACACTGCGTCAATACAACCGACCCGTTCTCCTCCCGACTCGTCACATACAGACGCTCGGTCGGGTCGCCCTGCGCGTCAAACGGTGCCGCTCCACTACAGTCGACCGATCTAAACACGTGGTTAACGTTGTGAGTTCAGAACAAAACCACTTGGTTAGGGTAAAGAAAACCTTGTGGTTTGGGTTAAAATAAGTGTGCTTGTTTCGTGGTTTAAGTTACGTTACGTAAATAAACAACATCAATACGTCAACGTCGACCTGGTTTCAGACGGGACACGAACAGCGTTCTCCTGGGTGAAAGTGATGTGTTTGTTTGACCCACGTCCGCCTATCAATGCAGACTTTGTCGCTCTTTATACATGAATTATTGAGGTGGCGCGTTAAAATGCAAGCTGTCCTAAGTTGTAAAAAATTGTTTACAGGATGTTCAACCTTTGTTTCTTTATAATGCATTTAATACAGAGGCAATGCAATAGTCCATGAATATGAGATATGGCTTTACGGGTAATTAAAATCCCTCCTCGTCGTTGTGGAGGTTGGTTTGTGGCGTTTTGCCGGTTACACTTACAGTCTATGTGCAGATCTCTGAGTTACACTCGTCTTTTTGATTCTTCAGAGTTCATTTTGTTTGTACGCCCTGTGGTGTTTCACAGAATAATATATAGCAATAGAAACGCCTCCGTTTCATGCTCGGAGCTCTCGGTGCGAGTGTAAAGCTTAACTTTACTTTATATCTACCGATACTTTTAACGTTGTCCATGAGTTCGGGAAGAATCTGAGCATTTCTCTGCCTAACGTTAACCTAACGTGCCGAAACCTGTAACGTCAGCTCAGTTTTTGACCAGTATGGGGGGGATAGAAAATCCAAAACAAACACCTGATATATGATTAAATGATCAAATTGTTTTGACTAATCAATGGTCCACTTACAAAACATGGTGCATCACTAACCAACATGATACATATGATAGTATATCTCTCTCAAAGGTGCTAATCTGCCTCCATATGTACTTTGTAATTTAGAAGATTTTGAATGCAGGACTTCTACTTGTAACAGAGTATTTCTGCAGAGAGGTATTGCTAATATTACTTGAGTAAAATATCTGAGTACTTCTTCCACTTGACTGAACTGTCAGCTGTCACGTTGCATTGTGGGTAATGTAGGCGCATGGAGTACATTTTTTCAAAGAAAAAGAGTCATAGAAGTGCAATGCAACATTTCTTGACCAAACTCTTTCATCACCTGTATTTGCTGATGAAGATCATGCGATGTGATCGAAAGCTCCACTATAGCTACTGAATGGACGTCGTGGTGCATCATGATGTTAACGTCGGCCCTCTCAACTCATTCTTGGGGGAAAAAAAGGCAAATAAAATTGTGTTGGATTATTTTATATTTGAGGTAAAAATAACAAAACCCTGTTGGTTATTTGTCAGAATCAGTTCTAGAATCAACCAAAGTGAGATCAGATCCAAATCAAGTTTAAGTGACAATCTGTCCAGAAGATGTTGAGATATCTTAAAGTGTCCGAGAGATGGACAGTCAGGTCCGATCAGATCAGATCGTGTTCATTTAGAGCTGCAGAAGACAACGCACACACACACGCACACACACGCACTGTGTTTGAGAGCAGGATGTGATGGGTGGTGCGCTGGCGGGGTTGGTGGTCTAACGCAGTCACATTTGTTTCAGATTTCATAAACAAAGCGAGGCAGGCAGACTCACTGGGGCCTCAGTAAATCAGGCCCAGACGAGCGACCCGACCCGCTGGATTCCTCACACTCTGCTGGGGAGGCCCAACACACACACACACACACACACACACACACACACACGGTCTCTGAATTTCCAGCCTTCTTTACGGTGATTAGATGTTTTTTCTCGAGTGCATCTTCAACTCTACCCAACTTATGTTTTCTTCCAGTGAGTTGAATCAGAAACATGTAGTTTAGTTTGGACACTGGATGTGTGTGTGTGTTGGTTGATAGAAGACATGTGTCTGGTACGGACCAGCACTGGTGGATGAAGTACTCATATCTTTTACTGAAGAGGACCAGTGTGTAGGATTTAGGGAGATGTATTGGCAGAAAGTCTTTATTAGTGTATATTCACCTGGAACCCGAATCGTTTAGTTTTCGTTGGGTCCTTCATGTCTACAAAAGGCGTGGGTCCTAGAGTTCGCCATGTTTCTACAGTAGCCCAAAACAGACAAACTTAACACCGGCTCTGGAGAGAACATTTCGTGTTTTTAGGTTACGAGAGGGCCACCGTAGTTCTCGGACACGCTTGGAAATGGAGGGGTGAGCAGAGTCATTCGGTTGGTTGCAGTCTGCAACCTCGCCGCTAGACGGCACTAAATCCTTCTCACAAAGAAATGTCCTGCATTGAGCTGGTCACTGTAGTTTTTAATCAAACAAACTATTTTCAGCAGCGTATTAATCCACATTTGGTGCTCTAGTGAGTGTTTGTGGCAGCAGGTCGGTGTGCGTTTACCTTTCAAGGCAGCTGGATTCTCGCGATGCCACGAGAATCGTGCGGCTCATTGATGTTTCAATAGGTTTTTTTGGACAACGGCAGAGTAGAAGAAGGTAACTTTAAAAAGAATCAACTCAAGACACTGAATGCCTCCTCCTGGACACACGGAGGCGATGCGATGGTCGGTGAGCTGGAGTGGCTCTGGTGCTTGAATCCCGTTGTCATGGAGACCACAGTGAGCGGGAAACGGTCCCACATCAAAAGCAGCCGGCGTCTGGAGTTTGGTTGTGCAACAGTGGTCCTCTAAAGCAGCAGGGTTCATCCTCCAGCAGACGCTCGTAATGAGACACACATTGTGTGAAAAGACATGAACTGCTTCTCTTTAAACGTCTCTAATGTAAGACATGAAGACACAGCCACACCAGGACTCTATAAATCATTTGCTTTATTTAAATCAGCGGTTGGCAGTTGTGCTACAAACGAAACATAAAAAGAACGAGCAAAAAAAAAAAGTTACTGTACTTGACACTTGATGACCGTGTTTGTCGAGAGGAAATTATACATTTATATTCATATATGCGAGTCAAGTGATTCCAATATACACATAAGACCTGAGACGGAAAAACCACAAATACCAGCTTTTTACGTGGTCTCTGTTTCCTGACACCAGATTCTTATTAATATTACAAATAACGTTTCAGTAACCCACACAAAGCACCTTGTCCTGTGAGCCCAAACCCACCAATTCATCCTCGGTACAGCCGAGACCAGGAAGGAGCGGCAGGTGTGGTCACGAGGAAGAAGAAGAAACATACATCCGTAAGATTCAGGATGAGAGGAAGTCAGTTTTCTAAATGTCCGACCAGATTAAACGTTTTAGACAAACATCCCAGAATGATCTCATCGGTTGAAGAATTGAAGTGTTCAGGACTCAACTTTACACACTTGGGTCCTGATTGCGACTGAGGCTCATGGGTAATGTAGTATTCAACATTCAAAAGAGATGACTTTTAAGAAGCTAAAACGTGTCACCGATGGCTGTGATGAAGCCTTTTATCTGGTAAATTATTCATGTGCAGTCAGTCGGTAGAAATACTCACGGAACAAGTCTAATAGTTGTTGGGTATTTCATTTGAGTATTATTCTTAATGTGTTTTTATTTGAAATGTTTTAATCCTGGTTCCACCATGTGAAACACTTCGTAACTTTGTTCTGAAATGTGCCGCATAAATGTTTATTTATTTTACTTGTTTCCGAAAATACTGTGTGTTGGCTGAAGAAGTACAAAAGTATAAAAGCGCCGCACTGAAGGCGAAATAGCAGAAAATATTTGATCTCTAACGCACGGTTCACTTGAGAATAGCTGCTCTCCGCTGTGTGTCTAAATATACTTCTACCACATTTTTCTATAGCATCGGTATTCTTTAGATCCGGTATCATCGGGCTTTATTCTCAGCAGCTTGTCTTTAAGCCCACTGAGGTTTCTCTGAACCAATGAGATTGCTCCAGACCGTTTGACTCTACTGTTCCCTTCCCTCCTTCAAGACCAACACATGGAACTATCTCCTATTGGACATCTCCTTCTTAAAAGAGGATATGCTTTATACTTTATTTTAGTTGATCTATTATATCCAACATAACAGGATAGGTGTTCAGATCCCACACCGGTAAGAAGTGAACCTCCGTCGTGGAACTGACAACCCGGATTTAACCCCGAAGTTACCCGGTTAACCCCAAATCCTGCTTTCTGGTACAGGCCCCAGAAACAAGAACGCCTCTTCCATTACAGTCAATAAAGACTCATGTGAAATCTTAAGATGCTGCAGAATGTCTTCTTTCTACACTGTGAAGGTAAATATAAGATAAACTTGTAGAGCTGCTGCTGACAATCTTTATTATCCATCCATCCTGCAGACGACCGTCTCCATAAATCAAACCGTCAGTTTCCTGAAGCAGAAGGTGACGTCATCTGTTATTCAGTTCACGACTTCACGAGACAAAAAAAAGCAAAAGGAAATTCTGAACGGCTGCTTTAAGGGAATGTTAGAAAAATATGACGATCGACAATCTAAATATTTGCTGATTTATTCGACTAATCTTTGCAGCTCCTCCATAGCTTTCACACACACTCGTTCACGGGTCACAAACATAACGTTTGTTTTGATGAAACGTGTCGAAATGAACACAAAGGGAAGTTATGTCACGTTCAAATCGCAGACCGTTTGTTGCACATTTGGTAAAATGGAGTTCTGCTCAGCGACTGAGCTCAGTGCTGCCCCCGGTGGCTGAAATCTAAATTACAGCAATGTCGGTATCAACCCCGATTGGAAGAGACCTTTCTCTGTCGGAGCAATACATTTTTTTTCCCCTTCTACCTTACAGGTCACGAAAAAGATTGTCCACCATCCAGTGAGTTCATACTTTTAATTTAACTTCCGGTGACAAATTGTAAGCAGCTCAGTGACGTCTGGATGTAGCGATGCAGGACGTTGATATGTAGCATGACGGTCCTGCATCGCCCGTAAGGAATGACTCGATGCTTTGTGATCGTGAATGGAATGGAAGGCCTTCTCTCTGGGATGGTTTATTTGTCGGTGGTAAACAGGATACGGAGACAAATCAAACCCACTAAAAGCTTCAGCTGGTCCGTTTCCAAACACAAAACTCTGCTCACCACCACAAACCAAACCTTCCAACGCTGCCATTCCAGAAGAAAGCGGGAAAACTAAAAGAGGTTTCCCACGTATTCATTTCTTCACATTGAAATCGTGTGGAAAATATGAACTTCTGCGCTTAACAAGCAAGCAAGCGTCCCGACAAAGACTAACGCGGTGCCGAGTTAAAAACCCGGCTGCACCTTCAGTACAGTGACTCATCCCCAAACATTAAACAGGAAATGTGAGCGGGGGAGGGGAGAATGTGATTTGACGATCGGTATGTTAAAAAGACACAGTATGCAATGATCTAATTGTTCGGATATCTAATCTCTGTAACGCTCCACTATCTGTAATGCCGGCATCTGTGGGGGGGGGGTGTCCCGTTTTGGAAAGGAACTCGCATCGCAAATAATAATTATCGGCATAGTCTTCGACTTGACAACAGCCAGGAGCTCAATGTGGCCCGGTGTGAGAGGCACACAAGCCTAAACACTCACAGATGTGCTGCTCCACAAAAGGACAGTTTGACGTTGAACAGTCTGTATTTTTAAAGCCATGGATTACGATTTCATCTTTAAAAAGGAAAACATTTTGGGAAATACACATTTTCTTTCATGGCAAGAGTCAGAAATAAGATCGATCTCATGTCTGTACAGTTAATGTAAAGCTCCAGCGAACAGCTAGTTAGCTTAGCATAAAAACTGGAAGCTTGCCTTCCTGTGTCTCTAAAGCTCACTGATGTTTTATCTTCTTTGTACGATAATTAAACAAACAAGATATCATAAAACTACTTAAATCACGTTAAGCTTATTATTATTATTATTATTATGATGAGCGCGCTGTAATAATTGGAGGCGACTCAGATGAGCGTATCAATATTTTGATCACCTCGTCTACCAACTAAAAAAAAGGTAAAAAAGCCCCAAAAATAGTCCAGCACAGAACCCCCTAAAACTGGCAGAATTGTGTTACTTTGGAGAGAACCAGGCTAGCCGTTTCCCCCTGCTTACAGTCTTTATGCTAAGCTAAGCTAACGGACAGACTGGTGTCATTCTTGTCATCCAACTCTCGCCAAGAAAGCAAATATTTCCAAAAATGTTGCACTTTTCCTTTAAATGGAGTACTTAACGGCACTAACTCGTGCATCTCCAAACATAATTCTAATAATAAGGACATTTTTGTGTCGCGGGCAAATATTCAAGATGTCTGGTAACGTCCAGTCCCTCGCCATGAGACTTCTTACCCAAAATCCTTCATCCCTCTTGCCCCCCCCCCCCCCCTCTTTGCTTTTCAAAACGAGCGTGAATGGACGACACAGCGTGAGCATCCAGACACATCAAGGTAAGCGGTGCATGGATATCAGCTGAGGGGGTAAGATGGAGGGGGTGTGAGCGGGAAGTGTTTTTGTTTGTTTGCGTTTTATCTGACGGTGACTCCGAGCTTCTCCAGCACCCGCGTCCCTTTCTCCTGGTACTCCGCCCGCGTCATCCAGAAGTTGTCCTTGTCCTTCATGATGTCGGCCAGCACGGCGCCGCCCAGGAACACCATGTGTTTACGCCGAGGCGGGTCCTCTATCCGGATCTTGAATTTCTGAAGGCGGAGAGAAGAGCAGAGCACGTGAACAGAGGAGAAGCGGAGACGATAACGTGTTGGAACCCCCTTAAAATACACGGATTGTCTCTTAATCACAGGTTGGAGGTTTTCCCAGAGCGTGCTTCCTCTTGAGGAACAACGACATGTTACATCTTCACCTCGTCATCACGAGACCACGACACAGAGACGTTTCTGAGGGATTAAAAACGTTAACTAGACTGTGGCTTCAGCTCCCCCTGGTGGCAAATACGAGCACTGCACAAGGAAGCTCTGGGGCAGAAGCAGTGGTTTACAGTGTATTTATACATTTACTGCATTTCCGTCACTGATCAAGCTGATGAAGTGAGATTTAAAAATAAGCCGATAATCACAATACACCATTCTCTCCTACTGCATATACAACTAACTACTGCGTATTAATCAACTGCACATAATCTACTTTCAAGAGGTATTATTAACAGTAAATGCTAAAAACAATGCAAGGCTAACGGCTCATCAACAGAGCGTGATGCTGCACTGACGGGGAAATCTTCATCCGCCATCTTCTTCACGAGCCACCAAATCTTAAGCTCACATCAATGTGATGGATAAAAAACATTCACATAACTGGATGCAGTTTGATTCAGAGCAAAGCTGATTTAGTGGGCAGCCACGGATCTGTTGGCAACACTTGAATGATTTCCCTCGAGGCCTCGTGTTTTCCAGAGACCGGTACTCACCGATAGCTTGTCGACGTCTCCCTTCAGCACTCGCTCCAGGTACAGCTGCTTCAGTTCGCGCTCCAGGCGGGACGGCAGGCCGGGATACATGGTGGAGCCTCCGGACAGGACGATGTGCTTGTAGAACTCAGACCTGCGTTTTGTGACAAACGGCATCCGATTTACTTGTACATGATGTGGTTTACACTTGAGATAGAGCAACATAATGCATGTGTGTGCGTGTTCTCTAGCGCCACATAGTGGGTACAGATACTGGTGAAGTATTTGCAAAACAATTTTCAGCATCACGCACTCCACGTGGGAAAAAAAGTCTAACTCATGGGCGTGTTGTCAGACGGTCGCAGAAATTCTCGGCCGCGTAAGACTGTTGTTTTTCTTATTCTTCTGTCATCATCTATGATAAACCTCTGGCACAGGGATGTCCTTTAATGAAGTTCTCTCTTCTCTTAAAAGACGATCTGTCCCCGCCAGCTCACCTGGTGTCGATATCTGCGGCGTGGATGGTGTTGAAGAGCAGCTCGGCCACGCCCACTCCCTCCACGTTGATGAGGTGGGGTTGAAACAAAGCCTCTGGGGCTTCGAACCTCTCACCTCCCACCTTGATCAGCCTGCCGTCTGGGAGCTGAGGACACAGCACAAAACCCCTGCCTTCAGAAATGCAACGACGTCTTAGTGCTGTTAAATACTCTAAACGTGACCTCGTCATCAGTGAAGGAACAGGTGAAGTTCAACAACACGACTGACCGTGTACGACTCCACCAGCACCGTTGTCTCCAGCGCCAGCTTCTGCTCCTGCTCGATGTTGTAACCCACGTAGCACAGCTTCTCCTTCATCATCCTCACCGTCTCAAAGTCCGCCGAATGGTTGAAGGCGTAACCTCGCAGCAGCAGCAGCTGGTGGACGGACGGGACGGATTTCATGGTTATCGTTATCATGGAATACAACTACATCAATTCAACACATAAACAACTGGTTTCACATTTCTCGACAACAAATATGAAATATTGTGACTGTTAACCATGTAATTAAATACATACCATGAGCATTAATCTGCTGCTGTTACAACTCCCTCCATTACTGGGAAACCCCACAGCGATACACATACTTTGTATCATATAGTGCATGCATGTGCAGCGTTAAAGGGAAACATTGAGACAGTCCGTCACTGTGTGGGGCTGCCGGTACCTTGATGAGGTAGCGCGTTATGTCCCTCCCTGCGATGTCAAGCCGTCGGGTCAGGTGGGGCAGCGAGAAGCCCTCGTACACCGGACAGATGTGAGTGACTCCGTCACCAGAGTCGACCACCACTCCGGTAAGCAGTCCTAAAACAAAAACATGCCAAACAGATGAGTATCGGCCAGTACTCGTGGTGTGCTTGTGCTTACTAGTAGGATACCCGAGACAAATAACAACTGCTTTGCTCTCCAGCGCCACCGGTGGTCAAACTATGTAGCGTCAGCCTAGTATTCAGCTCGTGGCTTTTTTGTAGCACACGCATGGATTGTTTCTCAGAAGCTTTAGTAGTTAAGCATTGATCACAAGTGTTACGGAGACAAACGAACCTTGAGCGTAGAGAGTGAGGACGGCCTGGATGGCGATATAAACTCCTGAGAACTGGTACGTTTCAAACATCACCTGGCAGGAGAAAAACACAAAGTATCAGATAACTACTGAGGCGCAATATAGATTGATGTTTTTGTGTCTCGTGTGAGTGATAGTCAACTGAGAACTTTCTTTGGTTGAGGTAAGCTCTTATCATACACCGCCCACCTCTATAATCTTTTCTCTGTTCTTGGTGGGGTTCATGGGCGGCTCGGTCAGAAGGATCTTGCAGTCGTGCGAGTCGATGTTGAGTTTCTCGGGGCCGAAGGTGTAGTCCCACAGGTGCTTCATGTCGTCCCAGTTCCTGACGATACCGTTCTCCATCGGGTAGTTCACCTCCAACATGGAGCGCAGCTCGCTGGCCTCGTCCCCCACCATCAGGTCCTATGAGAGGTCAAAGGTCAACAGTTCAGCGGACTGATGAACAAGCTTTGGACCAGCGGCTCTTTACCTGCAGCTTTTCTTCACTATTGCTGGCTGCTGTTCCTCTGGTACAGTGGATCACAGCCACAAGGTTTTCATTTGAGCATCCGATTCATCGTGCAAGACGACCACCGCTGCAGACGGCTAAATCTTTGCCGAAAGTATCACAGGCCAAACTGGTAGAAGAGATATCCGCACACCTACATCTTTGCAGTTTCACACTTTATTTGAACTTTCGGTCACCAGAGCATGCAGGATTCAACGATGGACAGGCAGGTAAAAACAACAAGCCCCTTTCAGATCATTGTATGCAACACACCTGTGCCCACCATGGAGGTGGGAGCTCCACCTCCCGGGAGACTGCAGCCTTTAGGTACTGAATGAAGCACTGTTAGGCATACCAATGGAATGTACGGATATCTCTTTTATGTCCTTTTATGATACATCCAAAGAAGTACTTGTAGTTCAACGTTACCTTGATTTCAATGTTGCCAACTTTGGCTGTGGAGCGGATGATTGGCCGGCCAACCAGCGCGGGGAAAATGTGTTCGGGGAAGTTGGAGCCTGCAAAGCCGCACTTGACAAACTAGGATGGGATTGAAAGGAAAAAAAGGCGGAAAAACACGCGTTATAATTATCAAATAACCCGGTAAATACAATACAACGGAAGAAACTCCTGTAGGGTTCAAGACATATGTAATAAGAGTAAGAATTGGTAGCTGCGAATCACAATGTGTATATAAGATAACTGTGTCACAGTATCATTATTAAAACACAATAAATGACTGAGGCTGGAACTACACATTCTCACAAACAAACATTCCTTTAAGGCTTGAGAGTAATCTAATTATATTGTTTACAATGTTTTTGAACCGATTCATCTTTGCATGACTCCATCTTTTCCTCACAAACCAAACATTGCTCCCTGCAGTTTTTTTTATTCTCCACTTATTAAAAACGTTCACATAATTATTAGTATTATTACTAAAATATAATATCAGAACAGACCAAATTGATAAAACATGTCATAAAAACTATTTATTCGGTGCAGTGTTTCAGAATGACTATTCCTTCAACCGAAAAGGACTTTTGTTTTGAAGCATATACAGGAAGTGAAGTGGTGTCAGCAGTAGCTTTAGTACTGTACTCAAGTACAAATTCAAGGCACTTGAACTGAACTGAGTATTTCGATTTTATGAGACTTTAAACTTCTACTCCACTACAGCTCAGAGGCAGATGTTACTTTTCAGATTACAAGTTTTCATTCGCTTCCTGTCCAGCAAAAACCACGCATCTCCAGATGTGTTTATTTTTTATATTTTATATCAGTCATTTTTATCCAAAAACATAATATACAGCTGACAGGGAATATAATAACAGGCAATGAGTACTTTTACTTTTGATACTATAAGTATATTTAGCTGAGCATACTTCTAGTTGAGCAATGTTTTGATTATTTTTACTTGCAACTAACTATTTCCACAGCGTGGTATTTGTACGTTTACTGCAGTAAAGGATCTGAATACTTCCTCGTCCAGCTGTGTGAATGTCCATTCAAACTGGTGAAACCTGCAGCAGATCTCTCAAGTTTCCTTACATGGAAGAAGAACTGCTTCGACTTCCGCGTTGGCCCAGTGGCGGACTTCCCGTTTACTGGGCGATTAAGTTGAATACATTTTTCCACATTTTTAAAAACTACTACTGACATAGGGGACCATTTAAAGACATGCTTACAAGTGTACTTTTTAGTGTATGAGGGCGGGGCCGTTTTGGGCAGTGCTACTGAAGCTAAGCTAGTTAGCTTAGCCTAAGCTAACGGAAGGAACATTGTGATTCATCTTAATCTAACCTTAAGTCTTTTTAGCTGGTGTCAGGTGGCTCTTTTTCGAACTCGGAATATTTAATCAATAAACAAATCGAATAACACGAAGCCAGCTAACGTGGCTAACGTTAGCTAGCTTCGCTACCACCACCGGTTCAAATATCTCATGAATTAAAGTCGTGGTTTGAAATCTTAAACCATGGTTACTGAACTATGTGTGTGTTTACTCGATGGGGTGTTTTTGATTGTGTTTGGTTTAACTGTGTAATAGCTACCTACTGCATCACATTACTAAAGTTACTAACCAAAGCTAACTAAAAAGGCTAGCTAAACTAACCATTAGCCAAGTTACCCGAATCACCAAAATACACTTTTTCAGAGACTTTATTGTCTATACGTTGATACTGATACAAATTTAAACCGTAGCAGTCAGCTGTAGCCCTGTTGCAGATGAATGAGCTGAATCCAGCTGACAGACACATTCCTCGCACAAACCCACCCAGACAAGCTAACGCGTTAGCCTGTTAGCTCCCCGTTACTTCCGGTTTCCAGTTCTCTCTCGTTTTCATATCAAACTGCACCGCGTGAAGGACAGAGAGCGACACGGAGGGAGACTTAACAGCACACCCACTGCTGAGTAAAACTTACCCCGGTTCCATTGTCACAAACCACGACTTTTCTCCCTTGACTGTCCATTTTGTGTTCCCTGAATCCAGCAAAAAGCAGCAGCCCCACTTCCTGTGCACTCTAACGTCAATTTGACCAATTACCGGAAGCAACACACACTGTACAGTGTGACTCCTTCACAATAAAATCGCAATCTATAAATCGAATCGTACTGGAAGAAGCATTAAGATCCTTTATTTTGTACTACTGTAATAACGCCACTTTGAAACTACTCCACTAGAAGTAAAAGTCCTGCATTTATTATTGACAATACAATTTAAAATCTGCACAACTTTTCCACCAGATAAAATAACAGTTATTATATTATTATTATATTACATTAAATATATAAAAGGAAAGTACTTTTTTTAAACCAGAGTCACACCGCAGTAGTGAAAATAAATATTTTATGGTACTTTAATTTTAGTGACCAGTGACTATTTTTGCAGTGGTCCATATTATTTGGACAAAGAAAATAGAAATACTCAAGTAAAGTACGAGTATACGTCGAATTTGTATGCTACTTAATTAGGCCGACAGATAATAAGCCAGCAACATGCAGTTCTGATAAATATTTAAAATGGTAAAACTGTTCCGTAGAAATTAGTTGGAACCCCCTTTCTTCCCTAAACATTTGGTTTCAAATCTTCAACCTGCACCACTGACTTTTTGGCCGCGCAACCAGCTGTAAACACATAACATTGTTGTAGTGAATGTGTTAGCAAACAAGTTGCCTATTCACAAATTCAGCAAAAAAAGAACATCATTTGAAGTTGTGTTTTTGGCCACCTGTTGAATATACAGTAAGTCCAATATTCAATGTAAAGCAACCTGTTACACTAGTCATTCAAAATATATTCCAGCATATTGGCACTCTGCAGCATTGCACTACTGTATTTCTGTTTACAATTTACAGAAAGAGTCTGACTTATAGAGATTGTATGCTGTTGTATACATTTATATATATCTTCTTTCATGTACTTGTATGTATACAATAGCTAAGTGTTTATGTATTTAGCTGTATTTCTAGTTCTGTGTAAGTACAATTTTAGTATTTTGTTTT